CCAACATGTAAAAATACTGGTAAATCTAGGCCAAATAAAATTTTTATAAATGTTCCATTAAATGCATCGAAACGAAAAAATTGGTTAGATGCATGTGGAAATAAAAATTATTACTCAGCATCAAGTCGGCTATATTGTTGTGAAGATCATTTTGACGTAAGTATTGGTAAAAAAATACCTGAAATTCATCTAAAATAAAATCATAACTTTAAATTTTTTTTTTCTTATAAGCGTAGTAATTAATAAATAAGTTATAAGTTGTTGATAAGTTATTAATAAATTTTTATAAATTTTAGCTACAAGTGGACATGGAAAATTGGTTAGAGTGGACAACGGTTGGTGGTAACAAGCGAATGAAAAATAATGTTGTGCCACATAAATTTTTTGAGCAGTCAAATTCTATTAACATAAATGAGACTTCCCCGATGGAACTAGATCAGCAAGACTTTGAAAAAGACGATTTTAATATTAATAAGGTTACAATAAACCAAAATTTAAATAATACAATCGAAAGAATGGATCTACAATGCATAGACATAGTTAATTCCACCACATATCAAGATTCAGAAAACTATGTGTCCAATGTTTGTCAGGATTATCCTACTACTCGTAGTCAAAAAGTGAATGCTGCTGTTCAAGTTAAAATACGGAGCTTATATAAAAGTACTCAAGTTCAATGTAAACCGCAGACCAGAGATCGTGCTTCGTCTCCAATTGAACTGTCATCAGAAAATAAAAATTTTCATGTTTCATGTTCTTCACCAATCAGTAATAATAATAATAGTAATAGTAATAATCAACTTATGGACACTTCTAACACGACAATAAGTTCATTCCCAACTACTTCAGATAATATTTTATCCACAAATGGAAGTACGGAAAATGAATGGAAAAATAAATTCCATCAAGAAGAATTTCAAAAATTGAATTTACGACAAACGTTTGAAAGAATTCGACAATTTCCTCGTAAATATATCGGGATTCCAAATGACTGCTTGGATATTATTGATATTTTACAGATTTCAAATTTGAGTGACGTAGATATATTTATTACATTGAAGAAGATAAAATTAAATGAAAGTTTCGCCATTTTAGCAGATGATTTTGGAATGTCTACTTCAAATATAAGTCGTATTTTTACGAAGACTGTGCCTGTTATGGCAGAATACTTAAAAGACTTCATTATTTGGCCTTCATCTTCGAGAATTAAACGCTAGTTGCCAATAAGCTTCCGAAGTCGCTATGCTGCAGTTGAATCAATCATTGATTGCTTAGAAATCGAAATAGAGAAGCCAACAGATCCTGTCAAACAATCACTGACTTGGTCTGAGTACAAAAAATGTAATACGATTAAATATTTAATTTCTTGTACCCCTGATGGAATCGTCAATTTCATTTCACCAGGATTCGGTGGTAGAACATCTGATGCTGAAATAGTGTCACAATCCGGATATTTGGATCGTTTGAGACCCGGTGCCGCTGTACTAGCTGATCGAGGCTTTAAGCATATTGAAAACTTGGTTATTGCAAAAAGCTGCACGTTAATTAGACCCCCTACAGTAAGCTCTGCTCA